GGATTTTATGTGTATATGAAAATAGACACGTCATTATAACTTTAGTTTGCACCAATAGAAGATATTCATTCTCACCCGACAGCATGCGATCTGGTCCCTGCAGGTTCTTCTGCTGCGTCTTGATCCCATGTTGGCAGCATGCACTGGCTTGGACCCCCGGCACCTCTGGAAGGGGTCTCATTGTTTGTAGCAGCTGTTTAGTTGGTATGTCTCTGGAGCTCAGAGAAGGACAATTACCAGGATTTAGGAAACAGCTGAGCAGCAGGCAGCTTAACCGCTGTCCAGCCTGTTGCTGTGTGTGCGTGTGACTCTTGGATGGACTGAGTCGAGGGATCTAGGGGAGGACATTCACAGGCATTATCCTCGAATAAACAAAAGGGAGATCTGCCGCATGTGGCTAAGCATGGTGGGCCTGTTTGGACTTTGGAGGCAAATAGAAAAAAAAGATCAGACTAGCCTCGGAGCATTAGCACTGAACATGAGCCCTGTTGTGTTGCGGGGCTTTGTGGCGAGACTGTGATTGGGATTATGTCCGTTTGTAGCCAGGAGGAGGAAAGGTTTTGCGTGGTTGGAGTTTGTGTAAGCGTTGTCTCGCTGACAACACAACGTGGCGCATTTACGATCAACTGCGGTCGATGAAATCATGTGAACCCGACACCAGGTATCAAAGCAGAGATTTCCTGCATTCCCCTCGCCCCCAAAGACCCATTCCTGTTCCATTTCGTGAAAAGTGTGTCTCCCTTTCAGCGAGAGCAGTTTACTCTGGCAGCTGAGCAGAGGGTTTCTAAACCATCTACGTTTATCCATTTCCCAATGCTCTTAGGTCAGAACAATGTGCATGCCTCCACAGACTGTTCTTACAAGAGCAATTGACCCTTTTTGTTTAAAACTGGCATGTGTCACATTTTTCCCTTTCAGACCCAGACTCTTTCACAACACAAAATGAAGATGATGTCCACCTGGAATAACAGCCGGCATGTCCCTGTTTGGCCAAAAGCAGCATTTACTTGCGGTTCCGTGTAAGCACAGCTTTCTCCCTCTTGTTTCTGGTGGTTTCATAAGAAGTTTATTATGAGTAATGAAGACAGGAAATATTTTTCAACTGCCTTAGCTTGGTTCAACACGGAGGAGACTCAGAAACTGCCTCTCAAAAGAACTGGGTCCAAAGGAAGAGCAGAAAAACAGGTTGAACACAATAATAGAATCAAGAAGACAAACAAGAAAGGCATTGCTCACTTTGAAATGAATGATTTGAGGAATATAATAATAATAATATAATAGTATAAAAGTCACAAAATGTGTAATCCAGAAAAAGGCGTAGGGCTCTTATTCCTACTTGGGTGAGAACAGCCTGGATCCGCAGGTTTTCTCCGTTCTGAACACATGCATGAGCAAATATTATCAAAGAATATTAAATATTTGCAGGAAATCCAGAAATCAGAACTCATAGTGAAATAACACATTGTTTCCAGCAAGTTCCTCCTTCATTAAAGTAATTCATTTAGTCAGTAATCGTCGTAAGCACTGTGCAGTGTTAGCTAATGTTTCCTATAGTTTCATCAAGTGTAAGTTCCCGGTATCATGCAAACTCAAAGTGCACTCATCTAGAGACATGCCCAGTGGGAAAATATGCTAATTTCAGGGTAATTTGTCTGCAATGTAATAATGCCTCTCTGACCCTTTGTCTGCTGTCTGATTAGCTCTGGTTCACACAGTGTCCATGATCTGAGCAGTGGCCTGCATGCATCACCTCCTCAAACATCCATGAAGTTCCAGCTGATCCAAAACAGCCCCCGGTCCCGAAATGATTGCAAGGCCAGACCAAGTTTTTAATCAGTCAATTCTTTCAGGAATCTAACAATTAGGGCCGGCAATTTCTCTCATATTTGTGTCCAAGGGCAGGAGTAAGCAATACAAAGTCCTGGCTCTAATGAACAGGGGCTCCTTGGAGCATCCTTCACAGCAATGTAACTAATTACTTCAGCATGCCACGGGAGTCATATTTCCTCATCAAATGGGAAATGATTTTCAGGACGTCTGCATTCTCGGATTTCATTCCGTGTGGTTTCGCCCGCTGTCGGTAAAGCTGAGTTTCTGGCGGACTAAATGGCCAAGGTGAAGTCTGGAGTCCGTCAAGGCCAGGGCCGCGCCAAGCGAGAATCTGCTCGTGTCCGTCTCCCGCGCCTAGATAACCGTGCAGTTCCACGAGTTCTTTCAAAACTGTCAGCATCGCAGAGAGGAGGCATGGATGAAAAAAAAAAATGTTGAAGGGGGAAGCTATAGGCAACATGGAATATCACTTAGTTTTCCAATGGAAAGTGTGTCTCATGAAGTAAAAGGTGGGGTTTGGGCGGCTCAGTGAGGAGAGGGATGAGAGGTCAACGAACCTGATAGGATTAATAAACGAAGTTTAAGGGCGAGCCGTCTCGCTGAAGTCCAGAGGCAGCTTATTCACAACCAAAACCAGCGGGCCTCTTGTCGAGTGTCTGGCCACTCAACAGGAAGCGTCCTGATTTGTTCTGAATGACAATGGAACCAAAGGACAGCGGGCCGTCCAACACTGGGCAGCATTTACAGTTTGTGGCATTTGCCGCTGCCAGCTTGGGAACAGCTGCTGTCAACATCTTTATTTCTGTCTTCAAAATGACTTCTCTCAATCACATTTTCTGCTTTCTTTCCCGAAGTAATGCGGGTCTGAGCTCTGTGGCAAAGCTAAGTTTCAGGATGAGCGGTGGCATGGTAGAGCCATTAATATACAGGAAAGAGAAGTGAGATTGAGACCCGTGGAAAGGGACACACCTAGGAAGTATGAGACATAAATTCACTCTTCCCCTGGCCTCCCTGAGATACCTTCAGCTTCAGACACTGCACAAAGGCTCGGTTGTCTATTGACGCTATCGGACTGGATCAACAATACCACAAGAGTTCAAATTATATGTAGGCAGTATACTTCTCTAGGTATCCACATCACGACAGAGGATATGGAAAAACCAAACTTTAGGAAGTCTTTATTTTAAGACATCTATCTCTCGCTGCTGCTGCTGCTGCTGCCCTGTTGAACTGCTCTTTAAACACAGATTTTGATCTGAACTCGGGTCAAACAAATAAAGTTAAACGCCCAACATCCTTCTAAAGGTAGGAAAAATACACAGGAGATAGCAAACACTGGGGCCCACACCACTAATGTGTGGTGTGTGGTTAACGCAGAACCCTGGTGTATACATTCAACTCTACCAATGGCTTGCCAGGATTAGTTTGTTTACAGTAGATCTTAAAAACCACCCCGCCTTGTGTGTCGTAAACAAACATGTCCTGTATTGTGATCAGTGTTGAGCGCCAATGATTAGAATTCAGACATTCAGACCAACAGGCGACAATATGTATGCAATTTTTTCTTTTCCTCCTTTCTAAACGAATACACAGACACTGCTGCATTTATAATATACTATTTGGGGAAGATTAATGGAATCAAAAGTCTTATAATGGTATTTAAAGCTGTAATCATGTATGTCTTGTGTTAAATACGTAAAAAGGTTATACTGTTCTCACTCAATGTGAGTTTAAGGAACTTAACAGCTAGCTAAGCCCTCCTCGGCATCGTCCAAGGAACAGCAGGTGTTGTATTTGGCTGGAATTGAAGTATTGAAATATGCAGAAAACAATTATTTCTTACTCTTTTCAGAATTAAAGGTCCCATGTCATGCTTTTCCGGTTATTACCCGTCCTCTTGTGTGTTATGAAGGTTCTTTATGCATGTAAACGGTCTGCAGAGTCACAAACACTCAAAGTACACCCTGTAGCGAGCAAAACTCTAACACAGAAAAGACCTGTCTATGCTGCCCCAGAACGCCACACACACACACACACACACACACACACACACACACACACACACACACACACACACACACACACACACACACACTCACTCACTCTTTTAGCGGCAAAAATGTGACGCGCTGTAGGGGGGTGCAAGTGGAGCACTGTAGGTGTGCCGTCAGTGCAGCCCCCTCAGCACCCCCCTTCCCGTGTCCATTCGCGATATCTCGCAGTCTCGCAGCAAGCAGGAAACCACACCAGTAAGCCAGCTCACACTGTCAGCTCCTCGCAGCAGCGAGCCTGAGGGCGAGCTGACCAATCAGAGCACTCTGGGCTCACAGGGAGGGGGGGCAGGAGCTCCAACAAGGCGTTTAGGACAGAGATTGAAATTCAGTGAATACACATACTATAAATAGATGCTGTATGAGAAACCAATGTGAGTTTGGAAAATTGCACAATATAAATCTATTCTAGTAGACATTAACAATGGAATTATGATCAGTAGAAATGGCCACGTCATGGGACCTTTAAAGTGCTTATTTTGCACGTGTAACAAAGACCTGCTTAATACAGGTAAGTATTCTAAAGTAGGCTATGCTATCTAACATGATTTAGCATTAGCAATCTGTAGCTCAGATAACTTGTGGTCATGTTGTTGCAAAAATAACTACAAAACTATATTTTAGCTGCAGCTAAGGTAGTCATGAACAGATTCATTCACTGATAATGCCGGGTTGAAGGCTATGATAGGAGGATTGGTGCAGATTCTGCAGTGTGATCCCATTGAATGCTAATTCCATTTGTCTCCATGGAAAAAGGACTTCCTGTAGGTACAGGAAGTGATAGCAGTAACGAAGGAAGTGCCCTCCCTTTCAAGGTAAAAGTCCGAAATAATTAACAACTGTGTGTTATCTAATTACTTTACATCTGACATAAGTGATTTCTATAGTTATCTCCCTACTTTGCTGTTCCTCTGTTTTCAGATCTTATGCCATGAATTGATGTAAGGTATTCAACATGTAATGTTTTGACTAAAAAACTTTGAAACTCACTTGTCAGCACCAAACAGCGGACAGACAGCAGCAACTGGTAAACATAGTGGAGCATTTAGCATTGTAGGAGCCAGATTAAAAAAATAAAATGAACACTAACAAACACATCATTTCATTCAGAGGTTTATTCATTCATTATTTGCTTTGACCAAGCAACAACTGTTTTATAAAAGAAATGTTACATAAGGGCAACTTGGACAATACAAGGAGATATGCATTTGGTCATTGGATTGATTATCCAGTCTCTATCAAAACAAACAAAAAAAGAAAAATCTCAATTTATATAACTTAACAATAAAAAACAAACTATGGTCACCACTTTCTTTTTTACAAAGTCCGCAATAATAATTTATAGGCTTTAATACATACCGTTGCTTTCTATTTTTCAGCTTGGTTGTGAAAGCAGGGCCGGAGAAAGGCGTGTACAGTACCAACATGTTGGCCGTAGAAATCCCTTTGTTAGAAATGGTGAGGTTGTTGGGGAGAGAGTTCAGGTAGGAACAACAAAGGCTGCTCTGTTGTCTCCGAAGCCTCCTTCCCTCTCTCTCTTCCCAGGGAGTGGGTATCGTGTGAGGTGTGAGGGTCGCGAGTGGTCCAGAGGTGAGATTAAAAACACAAGGAGCAGCCCGGCACTACCCCACAGCTATCCTGCCTGGATCAGGTGTATAAAAAACACATGTGGGAGCCCTCAACCCCCACTGCATAAGAAAATAGTGCCTGGGGATTGGCTAGTGCGATAGATTTCATTATACCTCCATAGGCACGCCAACAGGAATAACATAGGGTAGTCCTTTAACTTCTCTTCACCTTTGTGTAAAAACACCATTCGCTCTCAATGGAGGCTGTGTGTTTTCTGGTTGAAAACCAAAAACTGTAAGTGCAGATTTTTCTTTCTATTTTTACCAGTTTGCACATTCAAGACATAAAAAAGCTAAAAATATCACTTTGTGTAGCTCCCTCTCAAAGTCCTTGACCATAAGCACAGTATGGGTTGTCAAAAAAAATGGAAAAACTGCACGATTTATGGAGGAGTGTACATTTTGACACACATAAACAGTACCTTAAAGATATACATACAATTAAAAAGTCAGCATACAGAGCCAACTTTAGTTTCTCCCATAAGTCCAACTCGATTTCCCCCAGTTTGAGAACTTGGCATCGTTCGCCGCAAACGTTTATAACATATGCATCAGTACTTTTCTAGAAAGGAGTGTCTTTCCATTGGATGACAAAATGTGGTAGGGTTAAGTGAAACCAGGTAAAAAAGTTTTGATCAGAAAGAAAACGACCACACATATTCACACTGACAAACAGGAATACTTCCAACTGTTGCTTGGCTGACAAATAGATAATACTGAAATGCATTTCAAAGACAAACAAAACAAGAAAGCGAGGGGGGAGGAAATAAAACCTTTAAGTCTGTCCTCCGAATTTTTGTAAACAGCAATTTGAATGTAATGCTAAACAGCTGAGAGGGCTGAGGATCAAAAGGCTGGTGGTAGACTTCTTTTCTCATTTTTTTTTTCTCAAGACTATCTTGCACAAAAGGCAACACTGTCCACATAAAACACTGATAATGCAAAGTAAAAACATCCCTTTCAGGTCATTCTTCTGTCAGATCAGATACTCAACCTTAAAGCCTGTACGTAAATCTGTGAGATTGTGTGGGTGAACGTGACTTTTTTTGGGTCCAGCTGATCGCTTGTGCTCGTTTCAGCAACTAAAGGAATCCATCTCTGGGTAATGAAATCCAAGGCCGACATATGGACAAGGAGGAGGATATTTGCTTCTTGTAGATCTGCTGCTCACGTTAGGGAAATTTATCTACGTTCGTATCCAACAGTTATTGTTGGCCTGCCAGCAGCAAAGGGCTGGCTAAGACAAAACAGTGATCGGTTTACGGTCAAAATGAAGACTCCAGTCAAAATCGGCGCAATGCTTTTAAGCGAAATACTTCTGGGTATTTTTTTGAGACAGAGAGAGCGTGTGTGTGTGTGTGTCAGTGCCTTAGATGGTGAGCTCATTCAGTCCTTAAGGCACAGGCTGTAATGGGTAGGTTTCATTCACAAAACCAATCCTGAATCATGACCTAACATACTAAAATATTCCAAAGAGGCACATCATTATCTGTACTTTGCATTGACCACAGTCGGCAAGTTATTTGTCTAAATAACAAAAGGCACTTTTGGCAAAATACACGTTTTTTTTTGTAGAATAAAAAAGTAGGACATAAAAAAATCATACTCATCAAAAATAAGTTAACATTACAAAAGTGTCTTGTCTTAAGAAATACTGCAGTGAAACTCATCAACGTTTGTCTTTCAACCCAGCAAAGAAAATGAAGGTCAAGGCCCCTTGTGTACTTTTTCAGACACAATACAAAAAAGAATGAGTTCTCTTTGTGTTCCAGACCTCCTCGCCCCCTCTGTAAACGACAGTTCTCTTTTCACTTCTTTGGGAGTTTAATTGGACTCCGGTAAGTTTGGTGAAACAGGAATGTTTGCTGGTTTGCATAGAGAGATGGGAGGATGATGTCAGCACTAATATTTATGCATCATCGGCACTTTGACAGTCTTGATCTCTGCTATATGGGAGGACTTCTGGATGATGCAGCTGGTGGTCCCGCAGGCGCTGTCCTTACCCTGCGCCAAATTGGTCAAGGCCATGGCGGCGTTGATCTCTCTCCAGTACGTCTCGTCCTTGCCCTTCACTCTTTCCTTTTGCGCAAGTCCTACGCCAACGCTGCTACTGATGATCAGAGGAAAGAACACAACATAGTTAGAGGTCAAGTTCAGCTTGTAACCATTGAAAAATAAAGGATTTGATCTTGGCTCTTGGTAAAAAAAGAAAAGAAACTCACTTGTCACATTTACTTGATCCATGGTCTGTGGTTTCTGGAAGGACAAAAACCAAAAGACATTTTTTTTATTTTGGCAGAGTTCTCTGGGGTCAATGAGGATTTATTGAAATGTAGCTGAACATACAGGCTCAGGAGGTGGGTGTGTGTGTGTGTGTGTGTGTGTGCGTGCGTGTGCGTGTGCGTGTGTGTGTGTGTGTGTGTGTGTGTGTGTGTGTGTGTGTGTGTGTGTGTGTGTGTGTGTGTGTGTGTGTGTGTGTGTGTGTGTGTGTGTGTGTGTGTGTGTTTGTGCGTGCGTGCATTGTCCTGTGTGAGGTCTGTACTGTAAGTGTACACCCTGTGCTGTGCAAACATGTGTTGCTCTGTTTTCTCTCTTTACTCAAGATGCTGGACAAAAAGGACTATTTGCAAGAAGCCGTCAAAAAACAAGAAGGTGACTAATAGGATTGAGTTGAAAGATGTTTCTTATGACTCATAAACTCCATTCGCTAATATTTTGATTGAAAACAAATGGGCCCCGGCCAACGTAATTGAGTTGTCTGAGGAAATCAGATTGAAAATGACTGAGCGTAAAAGATGTGAGTGGGAATGAAAGGGCAGCAAGTGAGAGAAAGATGGATGTCTGCTCGCCTTTTTCTCTTTTCAAATGGGAGCAATCTCTAACTCATATGTAAAACATTAGAGGGGGAATAGCAGTCATTAAACGATGAAACCGAACTTCACTTCGGGGCAACCGGCGTGTTTACTTCAGCGTGATGTTCACTCGGAGAGAAAGGCCATGTGCACATTGGCGTGTGTGTGCGGGTTGATTTGTGTGTTTGCGCTGAACCTGTCTTCAGTCTTGGGTCTAGTTCTACAGACTTTTTGCCCAGCAGTCAATATGATGACACAGTCTTGGCATTTCACGAGGCATTAAAATAGCATCTGGATTTCTTAGCCGTGCAGCCTCCAGGCGCTCTCTTTAAGTAAACTAAACAAACAGCTTTTTAGAACTCAAACGTGACCAGGTATAGATGGCTGATCAATGCGAGAACGTTTTGAAGAACTACCTCAGGATTTCCATTTAGTCAAAAGGTACCAGAGTTCATCTTTACCAGGCACTTCCTTCAACAATGACTTCCTGCTTCCTTGCAATGACTCTTTCATGACCACTTCAGGGACAGCCAGTGTCTTGAAACCGTGACTCCATTTTTCCCAGTAAAGCGAATGAGTAACCCTGAGCTGGCGTTTTTTACGAGCCATTCCTTAAGCCACCATTACTGCAACACAACATTCAACGGGCGTCCCTGAGCTTTCCCTTCTGCTAATCTACACCCTTCATTTTCACAGGAATTTCATTCCCGTGATTGTTAAAACTGGAAAAAGGTTGCGCGAGGACACTGTGTTAAGGGTTTAGCATCCTTGCAGACAGCCACAGAGACGAACTGCCAGATTTCAAACTTTTGGGAGAAATCGCAAACAACATTTTGCCGTTCTGCTTCGTCACCTCTAACCTCGCCAAAAACCTTCATGCACTCAAAAGATCTGGATACAAACTGACATAAGCGCCTAATTATTCCCAATTCTTTGCTCTGTTCCTCCCTTGTTTTTCAAAAAACGTTTCCATGTATTGCAACATTTGCTGACAGAAGTGTGTTTGCACAAAGCCCCGGGATAATACGAGCCTGATAATGACACTTCCTGTAGTTTTCCTGTTCGCTCTGTAATAGGTGTATTCCACAGAGATTGATAGACTTCACTCTCAGCTGTTTTCTCCTGGTTGTTAGACAGAAGATGGTATGAATGTGTATGTGTTAGAGGGAGATAAGGACATGATAGAGAACCACAGAATGAGATTTCCGTGCGTCAAAGTGCTCCGAAGACATTCTTTTCTGGACGCAACTCCCTGCTGACCTATCTTTCCCGCTGTTTTCAGCTTGCTTTTTCAGCAGGTCCCTTTTCCTTCGTGGATATTCCTTTGGTCCCTCAATTTCTGTCCGCCACTTTTTTCACCGCTCGCTGCAGCAATTTGTTCTAATATCCGTGATCCAGGTAGAGACTGACCATTCTCATGCAGCCCAGCCAAAACAAATGGAATATTTCCCGTCTATGTTTTGGTAAGGGGTGACTCAGTGCTGTGTCAAGAATAAGCACGTTTTCAAAGCTGTTTTTCAAAGATGTAATACATCCCTTCTTTATCTCTCATGTTTTCTTATTCTCTATTTCCTAGCCATTTCTTAAGCAGCAGTTTTTTGGCGTAGATTTGGAATATCAGGTAGATTGGTGAAGGCTGTGAAGGCATCATCTCTGCACTCCATCTACTCATTGGATTGTTGCCTTTACTTGGAAGCAGAATGGTCCCGTGTAAAAATATGCATCGCTATAATCACAGCTCTGTAATTACAGGCAATTACACTGTTTTCCTGTGTTGTTTATGCTGCCCCAAAATATATTAGCTCAGTGTTTACTGCGGCAGGGCTCGGTGCATAGATCGGTTGTTGTGGAATCAAGAAGGAAGCAACTTAAAAAACGAACCGTATGAGGCAGCCACTTTACAGATAATCATTTTAGAACAATCAAATAAGTGATTGAAGACTACCCTTGGAGTAAGATCCAGTCCCTGCCCTTGGGAACCTAAATGCGTACAAAAACTTTGTGCCTCAAACATAAAAAAAAAACAAGAACAGCGCTAAAGACTCAATAAATCCTCAATAGATCAATTAGGACTTTTTATTATTTATCCTGCTTTTCTCCTTGTTATTTATTTTAGTTTTTTGCTTTACGGGAGTGCTGCTGAAAACTCAGTCGCTGTTGCCTTTGGGCTCTGCTGACAGCGGGGTTTCACGGACCACCAAGGGGGAAAGCTAAGAAGTTTGATGGTTTCTGGCGTCATTCTGGAAGTCCAAAAATACTAGCTCACTTAACATCACCGCGGGGTAATGAAGGGAGAGCAATAAGAGGTCAAAAAAAGAAAAACTAGTCTAGTTTGGTGAAAATGAGAGAAAACAAGCGGGGATTGATAAATTACAAAGGGAGTGAGGTTACACCTGTTAAGACGACTGCGGACGAGAGTGGTCGACTATCATCATTACCATCTGGTGCTGTTGTTAGCAACATACAACAATAAACAAGGCAGGCCCTGGTGCACAAACCAAGGGCTGGGCTGAATTAGGCAGACAAATAAACACACATTTTATAGGACATTTACGTTTCAGGCTTTTGGTTGGTGGTCTTATCCAAAGTGACTTAGAATAAGCGTCAAGTGTTCGGTCACCAAAAATCACACCTATCCAAAAATAGGACCTCAATGGTTTGACAATTTTCCCATGACCATAAAACAACTTAATAAGGTGTTTAGAAGGGACAGTATATTAAAGGAACAGCTTAGGGTTAGGGTTAGGGAAAATGTATACAGTACCACTGTCTTATCTGAGACTGGCATCAATAATCTCATCCAACTCACAGAAGGAGAGCAAATAAGCATTTTTCAAAAATGTGAAAGTTTATGTAATTAATAAAGCTATTAATTTGGATACATAAACCCAGGTTTAAAGGAAAGTGATGCTAAAAGTTGTTTGTCGCTGGGAAGAATGTGAAATGCATTGACTTTGACCGGAATGAGAAGATTATTCCACCACACACACACACACACACACACACACA